GGTAGTACTAGAATAGGCTTCTGGAGTTGACTTCAAATGCAGAGAGGTACCTCTGTACAGTCCTCCAACCCAGCCACTCAAGTGTCAAAAAGTTCTAGAAATTCAGACATGAAGAGTTTTGAAATAGTAGGAATAAGAGACCTTGCTCTTTTCTCAAGTATTCAAAAAAAAACTTGAACTGTCCAACTGACTGCAAACAGGACACTAATTCGACTTTTACTGATTGCCCTTCTAGTACCAAGAGCTTCATCTTTCATGTTACAGGACTGTTGGCAATTGAGTTGTATTTCTACATTATAATCCATCTTTCTAGAATATGCCAATCTGCTCAGCATTGTTCAAAATCAAGGGCCATATGCTGTGACTACACTGACGACGACTATTTTGACAGCATCCTGAAACAAAACCACTACATCAAAGACTGTCTTCCTCTCAAGAGCTGCGCTGTAACAACCTACAGTATTTTGCTAAGTAACTCAAAATAGCATTCACAATAGCCACCATGGACTGACAGGTTGAAATGTCCAGTTGCCCAAGGTGAATACATTCTCAAACAAGCATAATCAATTTGAACAGAAAAAATTCTAATTTCTTCTAATTATCAAGGTAGTTAAACACTAACAGAGGTGTCTTCTTAAGGCTGGAGTCGAATGCATGGTGCTACCACCCCCGCCATGCACCACAGCTCCCCTGACAGCCATGAATACAGCTTTATCCAAGTTATTGAAAGCTCTTTGCTGGCAAAGGCTCAGCTTTATTTTCAGCAGATTTGTACAGGTCGGATTTGAATGCCATCAGACTTTATGATGATCGGGAGGAGGAATCAATACAGAACCTGTTTATTCTCAATACTACATCTTCATTTACACTGAACACGTTTACACTGAACAAAAGGTCTATGAAAGCCTGACACCCATTTTTATGTGAGCCATTAAATAGTTGATTTTTTTTTTTAAAAAAAAAAAGCAAAGCAAAGAAAAATTGTTGGGGTTTTACATTTAGAATTAAAGTGAATCAAACAAACGGCAGGATTTTCAACCCAAATCATGGCAAGTATCCTTTGAAGAAAAAAGGTAGAGTGTATAAATAATGCCTGAAGCACCTGACTAGACAGAGGCAGAGGTAGATCTAGAGCAAAGCATCAAACAACTGCTCTGCATCGATGCCTCAAGGCAGCAACAAAAATCCACCTGTATCTCATTTGCCACACCACCAGCGGTTACAAGAGAAAGATTTTAAAAATTTAAACAAACAAACAGACAAACAAATCGCAGACTATTCATGCTAGAGCATGGTAAAGAGAAGCAGTGATTCAAAAGGCAGTAGGATATTGATTAGAAGAAAGTATTAAAAGCATTACAAACTACAGAAAATGCACTGTATTACACGCTAAACAAAGCAAAGCAAAAACATGGAAAAACATTCCCTTAGATTGAAATATACTACACATAGAATAAGTATTATTAAATAACAGAAAGATAGAATCTCAATTTGTAAGTAATACAGAATGTCAAAATCACCTTAGTTATGGTTCAGCCAAAAGACATGGATAATGTACTGATGAAATCAAAAGAAAAATGAAAGCTCAGCTGACAACGCTGAAGTATATCCCATAAAAACAAAATGCAGGTTATGTTTACTTACTCTAATACTGCATCAACCACACCCCTTCTTATTCTAGTTTCCTGGAGAAAAAAAAAGTGACTGAGGCTTAAAAAAAAGCTTTGTTAACTAAAATTAAATTGCCAGATAAGCCCTGCTCATCAAAAGCAGATGTATATGGAAGTCATATGTAATTAGATTAAAACCAACAACAAACCAAACAAAAACCAACTGAATTTCCATCTTTCTTTCATACAACTGAAATATAGCCCCCAGAAGACCCCACAAAGATTCAAGACCTGAGAGAAATACATCCCCACTGAATAAACAAATCCAATCAATTAAATTTTTCAGTAATGAACGTCATTGTTCCCTGTTGTATTAAAGTGGTAAGGAAAAAACTTCACAATCTTTAAACCTCCTTTTAAAACAGCATAACTCATACACACTCAGGTCATTCATCTGAAAACAAATAGGACTTACAGGAAAACTCCTCTTGCACTAGTTCCAAGCTGCTATGTGGGATGCAGTATAGGCAATTTAACACGTCAGGCACCAAACAGAAAGTGAAAAAATGCACTGTTGCTTATGTCAAATCATAGCAAGAAAAAGTGCTTCTAGATAAAGCAATAATGTTGATGTGTAACAGTGTGACACACAGAGTGCGTTAAGTCAAATATGTACTGACAAATTAGAAATGGCCTTTTACATGGCAAGACCATATTAAGAGAAAAAGCATTGAGCAGAAAGGAAGTATATGCATGTATAGAACCTGGCCTTGAACACTTTCAGGGAGGGGGCATCCACAACTTCCCTGGGCAACCTGTGCCAGTGTCTCACCACCCTCACAGTAAAGAATTTCCTCCTAATATCTAGTCTAAATCTACCCTCTTCCAGTTTAAAGCCATTACCCCTTGCCTTTTCACTGCATGTCCTCCATCATCTTCACATAAGGACTACAGCCAAATGTCACTGACAATTTGTAATGTCAATTTAAAGGTTGCTCAAAAAAACTCTACATTTAAGAAACTAAATCTGAGAAATTGGGATAAGAAGTTTCATAGACAAGGACAGCCCATGCTGGGTCAGGACTGGGGAAGCAAAAAGTATAACAGAAATATGAAATCTTACAAAATGGTGCTGGACACTACCTCCATTCCTGAAAGGAAAAGTAATCTGGAGGATTAAAAGACTTCAGGGAAACATCAGCAAACTCAATCTCTGGGGCAAATTCAGGATTGTAGATGCTGCCTCAAGCCTATTATTGGTCCGCTTGCATTAGTACCTATGTGTAATTAAAACTGTTCCCAAAGTACTTTCTTCCACTATTTCTGCTGTGCACATTCTAAACACTCTGAGCTGTAATAAATGACAGTTTTAATGCTGCTAAACAAGAAAAAAGCCTATACATTTTATTTAATTTACAATGTATGGGATTTGCAGATAGGATTGCAGAGCAGAAAAGCTAGTGAATTTTAAGATCAATTTGTCAGAACTAGTCAACTTTCATATGAAGTTTCAGAACATTCCCTGCAACAGCACAAGGCACAACAATGGCACAACCTAAACCCCATCTGTTTAAGAATAGTTAAGTCTGTCTTAAGAAGAGAGCAATGTTAAACAGTTTCAACTTAATAAATAAAAACATGATACTGGATTGTCTCAGTGCAATGGTCTGATTCTGAGAGCCTCCAGGCTATGTTCCTCTTCTCTATCCCCATTTCCCTTTCTGAATCTTGCTAGCTGTTTCTATTGTTTTAAAATCTTTTTCTTTCCCATTTTTTTCATCCTCTTCATACAATGCGCCTACAGAAACTGTCTAACTGCTAAAGACCCAGCCCCGAGAATTTTTATTCAAATGAAAGAAACTATGTAGCAGTCGAGTCAGTTATTTATAGGCAGATTATCTCACCTTCAAATAGATACAAAAAAGTAAGTATAACTCTAAAGCAGTTATATTGTTTCTAGAGAAAGATCATCTCCCCAAGTGCAGAATGACCTCAGTGCAGACCCTGAGCTAACCTTGCCAGATTTTAACTGGCTAAGGAGAGAAGCCTTGCCATAACTGCCTGCACCCATTTTGCAGACAAGGGAGTACTGGGAAGCGTCGTGAGACACCCCAGACGACTCTAGTACCAACCTGGCACAGCCCGACAGATGGACTCTCTCATCCTAGCCTGGGCAATCACCCCCATTCCACAGCCAGCAAGGACATGCATGTACCACATTTTAATGCAAATATCTTTGGTCCAAAGCTGCATTTAACCCAGCCAGCCCTCCCCAGGCACAGTCCTGCAGAACTGAAGTGACCTCATGAGGCATATTCCGTATCCAGAGCTGAGCGCTTGCTTCTGCATTCGCCAGCTCTCATACCATCCATATTTCTCTATTACTTGTAATATTACAGATACCCAATTCCCTGAGCTACGGAGTATACCCACACACAGTGTACTGGAGTGCATCAGTAGAACTGGACATTAGATGATTATACTAATGAGAGGACCAATGTAACTCTAAACAAACCACCATCCAATAAAAAAAAAATCCAAACCAGAACTACCACCTCTTTTTGACCAATAAGGACTTGGAAGTACGGTTTTAGAAGTAAGACATACTGAACTCACTTAACCACTGATTTTTTAAAAAAATAACTATTAGAAAAGAAAGCCAAACACATCACTATTTTTTTCCAGTTTCTACTCATGCTTGCACAGTTGAAAATGAAAAGCAACAAATGGCAGCATCCTAGAGCAAATACATTTGTGTTTTAAATAAACTCTGCTAAGCACTTCATAATGACGTACAGGATACACATTCTTTACAGTAAGTTTTAAAGAAATGTCATGCTTATAAGCTTATACCAGCCAACACTTTCAGCAGCCAAAGTCTGCACAGCGCATCTAGAATTCACAACAAGAGACAAAGAAGTATAGAAAAATTTCAGCTCGAATTGCTCCTGTTTT